GAGGATTGAAAAATTTAGATACGTTAATATTTAAAGATCTGTTGGGTTGGGAATGCACTCATAAAGCTCAACAATACCTTTAGATCGGTCATGAATAACCTTTTCTTAAGTGGTTTTTTCCCCTCAAGGACTGACTGTAGGCTTTCAAACTTTACCACCAGAACCAAAGATCCGTGGTACGAGGGGAGCAACCATATTTTAGAAGAGTGGTACCATCATTATCTTTAGGAAACATATTGCTGGCGTATTCCCAAATAGTCGGCAGTACAACTTCGTACAACACCGAACTTAAATATGACGACTTTGTCTTAACAGCTCCTAAGCTGGCACACTGGGACCTCAAACAACAAATGCTCAAGGCAATATAGCTTGGTTGGGTGATTGTTTGAGATACGCTCGATAATTACATTCAAATTTTCTTGTCTAAACTTCCTCAACAGGTACAATCTATGCTTGTCTCGTTCCAAAACAACAACAATACCTGTGGCATCTTCAGTTACTATGGTTGGGTTTTCAGAATAGAAGAAACAATACTAACATGTGCACTTCATCCTTTGGTTTGCTCCATAAAAGTTAAGCAAGCTAGCACGCAAAACATGGAACTAGGTTTAAGAATATGAGGCAATCAAGACTTCATTCATGATTGTAAACAACTTTGGCAGTGAATAAATTAGTTGAAATCCAGACCTACTGAGCAATTGTTTAGCACTGCTTTGATAATCTTGGGTAGCTAAATAAGAATAGCTATTTTTATGATCCAGAACGATGATTCTAAATATTTATAGAGAACAGATAAAGCAATTCGATGACTGTACTTCACCAATACAAACGGTCGATACTTTTCAACACAACTGAGTCGAACAATCCAAGGGGTTTTAATAAAACGTTCTATCCTCGGAGGCCAATTGAGAGTTCTACGACACAAAAAGGCAAGTATATGTTAGGGTTGAAAGTCAGCTTTTGCTACAAAAACCGAAAAATCTTTATAACTATTAACTACTAAACATTAAAATAGGACATACAAGATATAATGTTTGGTTATCAAGACCACCAATTTTCATTACTTCATCTAATGCTTCTTTGGCTTCAAACAATTGATTATTGTCTAAATATGACTCCGCTGAAAAAAATTTTGAAGATTAATAGTGTGTTAAAATTTACTAAATCTAAAATAAGTGGTGAACAATATTGTTTCCGACTAGGATCTAATCGAAAACAATATTGTTCACTTATATACGTTGTTCTAAATCACAATATGGGAATATTTCAAATTTTAAAATAAGTAGGATGATTTACATTGCCCCAAATGCCCTGGTACGGCCGAGAGTGGGGAGAGTCCGCTCTCCCTCTCGAAATACTCTCACACGGCCGCGCGTATACAGCCTCTGCCAGGGAAGTCCTACTCATTGCCTTCTCGTGGCGGGGGTGCACATGGGCTAGAGTATCCTGCGGGAACAAATGGCGTGTGAACCAATCGTTGGTCACCGGCTACCATGGGATTGCATCTCCTTACGATGCTCCACTGCCTTGTGGGTTAAACCTTTAGGTCAAAGGCTCGGGGTGTAGCCCCCTAAGATAACCACCTGCTTCGGTTTGGGCACCCGGGCAGTATCACAGCCCACACGCAAATGATGGACTCTCTATGTCTATGGAAACTACTTTTCTCGCTTCGAAAAACAATCAATTAATTCAAATTATTGTTATTAATATTTACTACGACATTATTCATCCTCTTTTATGCCTACTCTGTCTATACTTATTTTTTCGACTTATACAGTAGCTCGTCTTTGGTGGAAATTCGACTGTATCTAAACGTTCTGGAGTCACTAGCCGGTTGAAAATCGTATGTTACCACCGAATATGAGTACTGAAGCAGTTTTTCTGAAACCACGTGCACCATTCAAACTGGCTGCCTTCAACGTTCGCACACTTATGCAGGTTGGACAACAGATAGGGCTGGCTATGTCTTTGGAAAGTCTTAATATTGATGTTTGTTGTCTATCCGAGAACCGTATTCAAGACTCTGGTGAAGTACTACTAATTCGAAAGCTTCGAAAAGCTTGTTTTACGTGCGCTTATCCGGGGACCCTGTGGCATCTTCGTCTGGTCTTGCTGGCGTTGGTGTCGCACTAAGCGCTAGAGCTGAGACAGCACTAGTCGATTGGATCCCCACTAACAGTCGGTTATGTGCTGTTAGATTAGAAAGTTCCATCAAAGTGAGAAGAAATTTGCATGAGAAACGATGTCTTTTCGTCATCTCCGCCTATGCCCCGACAGATTGCAGCCTGGATGCAATCAAGGATGAGTTTTACCACCAATTATCTGTTCTTCTCCAGAAAGTGCGTTCGACAGATATTGTAGTACTAGCCGGAGACTTGAATGCTCAGGTCGGGCGTCTAGGCACAGAAGAGAGTCGATTAGGTGGCCGATGGGGACTCGTTGGTCGCAAGTCAGATAACGGGGACCGTCTACTGCAACTGTGCACAGACCACAACCTGTTTCTGGCTAGCACTAACTTTCCGCACAGTCATCGCCGATGTGCCACCTGGCGTCCTCCCTCTGCATCTCAAGCCTGGACTCAGATTGATCACATCGTGATCAGCTACCGCTGGCGTGGTTGTGTACAAGACTGCCGCTCCTTTTGGAGTACCTATATGGACTCTGACCATGCCTTGGTCTGAGCCATTCTTGCCTTAATTTTTAGTGGACTGATGTTAGCAAGTTGGTTGCAACTTCTGTTGCAAGTAAGTATCGAACCGAGCTAGTTTCTAGGCTAGCTACCACTCCACCGAAAAGTACAGATGAGCATTGGTTGCAATTGCATGACGCCATGAAAATGGCGTGTAAAGCCGCTTGCGGCTTCGCGAAACGTCCCGCTTTTAAGCACTGGGTTTCTGCAGGTTCCTTACAACTCATTGAAGCCCGTCGGTCTACTCCGGGTGACCGTGAGTTTGACCACAGAGGAAGGATGTTACGTAAGGAAATTGGGCAAAGCTTACGTAAGGACCGAGAAGCCTGGTGGTCCGAGCGTGCTAATGAGCTGGAAGCAGTAGCTGCATCTGGTAACTACCGGAAGCGCTTCCAGCTCATCCGAGCCACTGGCAGCAAGAAGTCTGGTGTGAGTGAAACAATCTGCGAGGATGATGGGATGCCAATCACTAACATCCATCGACGTCTTGGACGATGGGCAGAATGTTTCGAAGGGCAGTTCAACTGGCCTGCTGCTCCGGCAACGTCGGTCAGACTGTCCTACCCTCCATGGCCGGTGACGACTGATCCACCAAACGAGGCGGAAGTCTGCAAGGAACTCCAACTCTTGAAGCGTTACAAATCACCTGGCCCAGATTACATACCTCCGGCTCTTTTTAAAGATGGTGGTGACTTTCTGACTAAGGAATTGACGACGTTGTTTACAAAGGTTTGGGAACTAGAGAGTGTGCCAACGTCATGGAATGAGTCGATAGTTGTCCCTATCTTTAAAAAGAGTTCACGTCGTTCCTGTAACAACTATCGGGGGATAAGTCTACTTCCGATTGCGTCCAAGCTATTGGCTTCCATCATACTTCGTAGGTTGTTCAAAACCCGAGAAAGATTGACTCGCGAGGAGCAGGCTGGGTTTCGTTCAGGTCGAGGATGTATTGATCATATCTTCACCCTCCGCCAAATGTTAGAACACCGCCATACTTATCAAAGGCCAACAATCGTAGTGTTTCTTGACATCAGGGCTGCCTCCGATTCGTTGGACAGGACTGTTCTCTGGGATTGTCTATTGAAGAAGGGTGTGCCTGAGAAGTTGTTTAACATCCTAGAGGCTTTATATACAATCACCTCAGGCAGAGTGAGGGCATACAACCACCTTTCTCCATTGTTCCATTCGAGCAATGGGGTTAGGCACGGTTGCCCAATCTCACCATTCCTCTTCAACTTTGCCATCGACGACATTCTGGAAACAGCTCAGATGAATGTAAGTAATGGCGGTGTGGATCTGTTGCCTGGAGAAAGACTTCTCGACCTTGAGTATGCGGATGATATTGTCTTACTGTGCAATAATGCTCAAGGCATGCAATCCGCACTTAATCAGTTGGCAATCAGTGTCCGTAAAATATGGCATGTGCTTTGCACCTTCCATGTGCAAAGTACTTCTACAAGACTGGCAGGATTCCAATCCTGTACTCACCCTGGATGGTGAGCAGATAGACGTAGTCGAGAAGTTCGTGTATCTGGGTAGCTGCATAAGTGCTGGTGGGGGTGTGAGTGATGAGATCAATGCACGAATAGTGAAAGCCAGAGCGGCTTATGCCAATCTGGGCCACCTTTGGCGCCTTCGTGATGTTAGTCTGGCTGTAAAAGGGCGGATCTACAACGCGTCGGTGAGAGCAGTTTTGCTCTATGCTTGTGAAACCTGGCCTCTCCGAGTTGAGGACGTTAGAAGACTCTCTGTGTTCGATCATCGTTGTCTCCGAAGGATTGCTGACATTCAGTGGTAACACCATGTCAGTAATGCAGAGGTTCGACATCGTGTGTTCGGGCACAGAGATGATAATTCAATTGTTGTCACCATCTTGAAACACCGACTTCGGTGGCTTGGACATGTTCTACGAATGTCGTCCCAGAGAATTCCACGTCGTGCATTATTTGCCGACTCTGGGACTGGTTGGAAGAAGCGGAGAGGTGGTCAGTGTATGACATGGTGTCGTGGCATGAAAGAAAGCTGCAAAGGACTGGGTTCTGTTGGTCCTTCACGACTCCCTGGTTGGGGTCCGAGTGATGGTGCAACACAGTGGCTAGAGACGTTATCAGATATGGCTCATAATAGAAGCCAGTGGCGATCCTGCTGTAACCTTCTTTTACTTTCTTCATAAGAAGTGGTTGTCTCCCTTACCTGAAAGATTTCTTCCGATTGTACCTTTCCGTTCCTTCATTACTACCACACTACCTTACACCAATCTCCTCGTTATTGTTCTCTTTTTTACACTCCTTACCTTTTTTTCTTTTCTCTTCGAATTCTCATTGTTTTGTGTGGCGCATATATATTGGCGCTCTCTTGTACCAATATTCATGTGTTCAAATAAAATAAAATAAAATAATACATTGCTGTTTAAAGTTCAACTTGACATATTCGACAGGGTACTTGATAAAAATGGAAGATTGGGTGACGTGTTAGTGAATCTTTGTCGATAGACGTGGTTGAGACCTTTTGGTTGAATGTACAAACACTACGGAAGATGTCTCACGTAGAAGGCTAGAAGAAAGTTGGGGGCGGTAAAACCAAAACGTGACATCAGTTCATGAGGACACTGACAACTCGATAGTCATATTAATAAGTGTGGGCTACCTGATCGAAGTCTGCGTGATTATCGTAATCAATGGTTACAGAATCAAGTGATGTTGCATTAATAATCCTAAAGTCCTAAGGAGAGCAAGAACGAAGATTGGTGCGGAATAATATGAATTCATTTTATTTCGTTAGGTTTTCATCAGCTTCTTACAACCTAAAATATTTGAGAATCAACGTTATTACAGATACTGACATACTTATACATACAATGGTGATTAAAGATGAATATATGTATCATGATGTAACGAAGATTTCAAGAGTTAATAAGGTCATAAAAATTTTATTTAGTATAAATAAAGTTTGGGAGGAAAAGTTCTAGAACATTGAAATAGTGATTAGAACTCATGGAGTTAACAAACATTAGATGATTTTATAATGAAGCAACTGGAAATAAATTAATGGCAATAAAGAAAGATATGAACTGAGATCAGTCAGTTATGAATTAAAGAAAAACGACAATGATGTAATCTAAACTTCAGAAAGATTTGAAATAGTGAATGACGTAATAAACAAAAAAGGAGGGTAATGTTACCAGGGCAAAGAAAGATTTATTACTGTCTTTTTTTGTATACAGAGATGTGATTTTAGACGTTTAATCGCTATTGCTTCGATAAATTTTAAAAGGATGGAGTTTGATTGTTTGTTAATCACCTCGAAGGACTTCAGTGTATCAATTCATGTCCTGTGTCAAGGAGATGTCTTGCAATGGCACTGCTGAATGCTTTTAACCCATTCGATCTTAAACTTTTCGGAATATGTTCTTTAAATCGGACGTAGGCTCTCCTTTCTGTTCTACTAATGTAGCTGTTTTGTCAGATACATGTAAATTTGTATACAAAGTTGGTGGTAACATGAAAGGGATACCTATCGACCTTTGATGGTGTCGAAGAACATATTGTTTCGGACAGGACAGTCAGTTTAGCTGCAGGATAGGTTCTTATCAATGCAGTTTTTAGTCTCATATTGATTGACCCTGTGACATAATCACCTTCATTGCGATATCGAGAAAGTGGAACTTGTTTTCATTTTCATGTTCCACAGTAAAATGGATATTTGGATGGGCTTCGTTGAAAAGTTTTAGCCGATTTGTTGATTATTACGTACGATGAAGCTATCATCAGCATACCACGAATAATACATCATTCTATCATTCGCTCCTTTGATCTTGGTTCTTTCGAGATTAGCCATGAAAACATCTGCTAGAGAAGGACCTAACGGACTTTCCATTGCTACACCATCGGTTTGTCGGTATATGAAGTCAACTGATGGGCACTTACAACCTGCTTAATATGAACTGATTTGCAGTTTTTTATATTTTCCGTTCTTTATGGTGTATTATTCAACAATACTTACTATTATTCAGTATCTGATATCATTTTTAAACGTGGAGTTCATAATGTATATTTACTGTACTTTATGTAACTTCATTTAACAGTTATTTCCATCTTATTGTATTCCTTTTCCATCAACTGAGTTTTGTATCTATGTAGTAAGTTGTTCATTGAAAATGTATTTATTCTTAACAACCTCTATATTTGATGCTGAATAGCTCTAATTACTAAATTGTTATTCACTTTACGATGTCTTATGAATTATTTATTAGATACATGTTTAAAAGAAGCATCCTATCGTTGGCCTTGTTTTGCTAATACCACAGCTCACTGTTTTAGACCTATAGTCCCGGCTATTTGTTATTTTTATATCAATAACACCTATTTTGCAGATAAGTTTCTTGCAATGATTTCCAGACTTCATTTGTCACTCAGTTATTAGGTTATAATCCTCCGAAGGATCTATTAGGTTTCAATAAAATGGAAAGCAAAATACAGACTCTTAACAGTGAACAGACAGAATAATGAAGAACTTCGTTTACTGTACAGTTCAGAACTTAGAAAGAGCTGAATAATAAAAAAACGTGAGCACAGGGAGAAAATGTAAATGCACTCACATAATACCTACCTAGACCTTGGTAAATTTTAATTTGTACTTTCAAAGCAGTTGTTTGATTTTGATTGCCCGGACGAGATTGTCTTGGAAGCGGTACGATAGATGCACCAGTTTGGCCAGCACAACCAATCGCTATATCAGATAGCGCAGACTGTAAGTAATTGCTGTTGCTAGTTTTTTCTTCCCATACATTTAATATTGAACAGTCATCGTCTAATTCTAACGACGGACTGAATGAAGAAACACTGGAAAGTGTCAAGTCATCAGGAGTATTTGAATTAGTTATATCGTTGTTATTTGATAGGGCAGCCTTTCGAATTCGATTGAATATTACCCTTAAAAATTTAAAATGTATAAAATTTATATTATTTGAAAGCTTTGAAGCATTAATTAACCTGAAAAATAGACTTTAACATGAATCAAATGGAATCAATTGAACAAATAATAAAAAAGCCAGGAAGTATATGTATAATTGATCTGGTTTTAGTTTGACGTGTTTTCATGAATACGTACATTTCAATTCATATACGGTCTGAAGAATAAACTACATCATCATTGAACAAATATTTAGCAGTTTCTAAGTACTTCTAGTGATCTATTATGAAAAGGTAGGCATATGTAATTGACCCATAAAACAAACTACTATCAACCATGAGAACTCTCAAACGAGTTATCTCAGTCGACAGACAAATATCAAAAACCTAGGATTTATCACAAATATATATTGGTCGTGAAGACGGTATAATTGTGAGAAATCATATAAATATTTGATATATCATCCAATTAATTAGATTTTATCATTGTGTACTACTATGAATAAATGGAATTGTATGGAACAGTACTTCTATATAATAAATTTCAGTGATTCAATACGTTTAAGAAGCCTAGATTATTGTACTCAGATAAGACACGTTTTAGATTTGAGAACTAGTGAAACTATCCAGTTGCCAAATTGAAAGTCAAGTGGCCTATCTATTAAACAACCACTGCAAACCAGTCAATATATTTGTAACCAATCAGTTCACGACTTTATTTTGTCATACTACGTAGGAATCACTTTTGTGAGTTTAATAAAGATACTTCTAATTTAACTAGTATGTCATACAAATAACTGTCTTGTATTCATACTTGGTTGTTATAATGAGCCTATAAATTCATGATCATATATGTTCAACAGAAAATCTATCATACATTCTATCAATATATAGGTATACACTGATGTAAAAAAAACTGTAATAAGGTTTATTAATAGTATGAGAAACTTAAAAAAATTACTTTGAATTAGCCCCTAACGAGAATGTATCACGCCATACTTTTAACAATTGACGATAGACTTTCAAACCAGCTTTAGGATTAATTCTAGCTTCTTCAATTTTAGCTAATAAAAACAATAAATTAAAATCATTTGGTCTATCGCTTAAACCAACATATAATGCCTTTGCAGCTTGATCTAAACGTTTCCCTCCAGCTGTATGCAATAACGCTAATAAATACAATGTATTGGAATGTATTGGCATTAACTGTAAACTTTGTTGACAAATTGACAAGGCTTCGTCCAAATGACGTTGTGTAGCCAATTCAACAGCTAAATGATACCATCCTAGATAATCATCGGGATCTAGTTGAATAGCACTTTAATGAAATGAAAAAAAATAAAATAGATGATATGCAAAAGATAACCATATAGGAGGAGTCGACAGTGAACTTCTCTAATATATACAAACAATTTCAGCTTAACTATTGGAGTAAGGTGATAAATTCACTAATTACTGTATTTCGATAGAAAAATGAGAAGACGGAGTCGATCTCATTGTTCTATCGAAATTTATAAAAGGGACTAATTGCTTTAAATTACTGTATTAATGTTTATTATACAGGAAATTAAACTTTAAACAGAATGAAAGAATTAATATTTCCGTCGAAAAGAAAATTTTCTTCGCTGAATTCACTTTATTTGTATTCAATGACACAATGGGTCATTCTAATCACATAAATAAGTTGTGAACAGACTTAAAGTTCAGGTAAACAACGTATGTACAAATAAAGTGGTTTCACCAGAGCTTTGTATCAACAGCAATGTCTTTTGAAGTAACTCTATAGACATGTGATTTCTAATGATTCAGTTATACCTCTTAAAGCTCCTTTGAGTAGTAAAATGAAATATGCACAAAATTTGAAAATCATTAATATAAGCTTTGTGAATATTGAGTGAGAAAATATAACCCAGAACCCAACTTTAGCACAGTTATAGAGACTACCTTGTTAAGGTTTATGTGGTTGTTGTAACAAATGATCAAAGACTTTGGGTGATATGGCTCAAAAACATTCACAACGCCGGAGGTACATTTGGTCTTTGTCTTCCTCTAGATCCTGATATACAAAAACTCTTCATACATTTTTCATTTTACACTACATCTTTTTTATTAAAGCTGATACTGTTATTAATTCTACAACTCTGAAATTTGGCTTGACGATTTCGTCATGCTTGTGCTAATGTGATATGGCAATTTGAACAGATGCACGTACGTGCCAGATTATATATTGCATATGACTGGAAGAGAATAAAGGGACCTAATGCATATATAAGCTGTATAAGCTGACAATTTTTAGTGTAACTGAGGTGACCAGACTGATAATGACCTGATAAAAGTGATCAAATACTACGATTTTAATATTCTAACTTGAAGGAGCTTATGTGAATATTTCTCCACTATGAAATCACCATTTCTAGTCTCCTTCACACTGTATAGGTCTGACCAGTTATTCATTGCTATAAATATTTTCTAAACATTTAACATAATCAGAATACGAGGGTGGTATTGTGATTATATGAGGTAACTCGACTTATAAAATATCATACTACCTTAGATTATAAAAAGGGCACTTACATTCTATACTCTTTTACAGCACGATTACGCAATTCACTTTTTTTATCTACAACACAACATGACCTGGCTAATATAGACCAACCCCAACCAACTAGTAAATGAGCACGAGCCATAAAGGCTGTTTCAGACTGTGCAGAAACCTAAAAGAAAATTTATGTACACAATATATTTGTATTTAAACAGGAAGAATTCAATATAAACAATATATATAATTGTAAAGATAGTTGGTTAGTTTTTCTCTTAGTGTTAGTGACAATGAGAATTTGTGAATTAGTGTCAAATCTTAGTACTATTGGAAGCACAGACTATCAAGTTAATGTAGACAAGTGTAATTGATAAATTTTGAAATTAGATGCTCAATCCCATTGCTAGAATTTACAGAACATAAAATTAAACTATATAGTAATATAAATAAATAATATATTCTCTGAAGAAGTGGCTTACACTAAGTCACAAAACGTCAGACAATCTAATTTTCCTACTCATTGGGATATTACAAATATATTATTTATTTATAACAATTTACCCGACGCTCAATTTATTCGAAATTATCAAATCAAACCCTGGTAATGATACCTATATAGTAATACATCGTGATATAGTAGTGTTGTTTTTTGATATCGTAATGAAACATTACAAGTATACCATGGTTATATTATTAACATTCTATTCAATGATCAATTTACCTGAAATTATTAATCTTGATAATGATAATCATTAACATAGTTCCCTTTATCATTTTGAAAAGAGCAAGAACAAAGATTCTAGCAGAATAACATGAATTCATTTTATTTCGTAGGTTCTCGTCAGCTGCTGGTATTTAAAAGGATAATAATTGCATAATGGGTTGAAATTGCTTACATGAGAGGGTTTGTTTGGAAGTTATATTGAAGATATATTCGTAAAGTATATCATGGGTGTAAATGAAATTAATAGACTGAATATTGTAAATATATACCTAGCGTGAAAGAATATTCTACAGCATTGATTGTGGCAACAGTTCAAAAGGGGTTAGGAACAATTGATTACATAATGAATAAACATTGATAGGAATATAGTGAGCAGAGTATTTTATAGGGCAGAAAAGATATGTACCATTGATAAGCTGGAAGAAGAATTGATGAATGTGCAAAAATGCCTACGAGACAACTATTACCCACAAAAGTTTATTGACAAATATAAAAAGCGTAAAGAAAATAATACTGAAGTAATTGCTGTCAATAAAAAACCAATAACTATAGGTCTTAACTTCAAAGGTGATGATGTTGCTAACACAATCAACAGGAGACTTAATACTGCGCTAGCCAGAACCTATCCGGCGGCCAAACTTCAAATTTTGTATAAAATAACATGTTCAATAACTCAATCAAAGGTTTATAAGCATCCTTTTCATGTTACCGCCAATTGTATTTATAAATTACATATACCTGCCAAAGCAGCTACATTGACCGAACAGAAAGGAGGGCATATCTCAGATTTTTTGAACATGTTCCAAAAAGCCTCAGAACAAGAGAAAGACTCTCAGTAGTGCAATCACTAAACATCTCCTTGACACAGCCCACCAGGTTGACATCCTACAATCATTCAAGGTGATTAGTAAGCAGCCAAACTCCAGTCTTCTGAAGTTTACTGAAGCAGTTGCTATCAGGCGCCAAAAACCTGATTTATGTGTTCAAAAGGAGATGATTGTTAATCTTTCCCTGCCTTGGTGACAAATATTCTTCCGCTGCAGCTTAAAATTTTTTATTCTCATCTTTTATATTTATTACCTCATTGATTTTATTTTTTCAACTATCTTTAAAAAAAACTAATAATCTTTCAACTGAACCCTACTCACTATATTCCTATCAATGTTTATTCATTATGTAATCAATTGTTCCTAACCCCTTTTGAACTGTTGCCACAATCAATGCTGTAGAATATTCTTTCACGCTAGGTATATATTTACAATATTCAGTCTATTAATTTCATTTACACCCATGATATACTTTACGAATATATCTTCAATATAACTTCCAAACAAACCCTCTCATGTAAGCAATTTCAACCCATTATGCAATTATTATCTTTTTAAATACCAGCAGCTGACGAGAACCTACGAAATAAAATGAATTCATGTTATTCTGCTAGAATCTTTGTTCTTGCTCTTTTCAAGATAATCATTAAATTGTATAATTGATATTTAAAACATTCGGAAAACAATTTTATTCATCCAGTTGAAACTAATTAATTTAAACCAGTAGCAATAGAAATTATTATATGTGAATAGATTGATAAAAAACACATTGTATTGAACATAAGCGAAAAGGGCGGCCTGCTTGAGCCTCTGGGCTACCTGTTCCTGCCATCTAGATATTTCAACAAGTTATCTATTTTTGTTTGTTTTAATATATCATCATGTTTATTAATCGCATGACCTATTCTGCTGCGTTTCTGAAAAGTGTACAACCTTTCGTTTTCAAAGTTACAAAAAACTCAATAAGAGACAATATGGTTGCTGGCAATATACAGAGAAAAGAATGCACATTATTCAGATGTTCATTTACTGAACTGCTAACATCTAACTGGCGATCACTCAATATTTATCGCCAGGACCGACCAAGAAGAAAGAAACGGAAACTTGTTGAGATACTTTACGCTGAGAATTCTATATTGTACCAAAAATATAATATTGAATAAAGCTAATAATAATAATAATAATAATAATAATAATAATAATAATAATAATAATAATAATAATAATAATAATAATAATAATAATAATAATAATAATAATAATAATAATAATAATAATTGTAAACAGGTAGGAATAGAAATATTACCTCTACTGCCTGTGAGGCTAATTCCATGCCTTCTTCAATTAAATTCAAATGACCCAAACATAATGAACTAGCGAATAGATAAACGGATATTTTAGAATTATCAATTCGCAAACATTCGCGTAGAGCCAAATAACCACGATAATACTATAGAGAATCGAATGATAAACAAGTCAGAAGAATAAAGCTCAATGCTTATCATAGAACTTAGATTATTTAAAAATGCTTGCTTCCATATTGGCTAAAAGCTGAACAAGTTATAAAAAAAACTAAAAAGTAAGGAACTAAAAACAGAAACCAGATAGTTAAGGTTTTGTTACTTATTAATAAAATATGAAGTATTTTGGTATAACAAAGTTATTTAAAAGATGTGTCATATGAGGGTTTCTTCTCATATTGTCTGGGGGTAGGTATGGTCATGATGGTTAGAGACCTTGAATCACATGGCTCAAAATCGTTTGCGATGGCGCAGGTCTATCCACTCTTTGTGTTCTCCCAAATTCTAATCTTCTGAATTCTTCATGTCCTTTTTTTCTCTTTCCAAATTTATTTTACTGGATTATACTCCTTGTATAACATCTTCAAACCCTAGTCTTTCCGATTACTGCTATTACTACCTCTACCACTACGGGATTTGAATCGACAACTGCATCTCTGTGCTAATGTATTTATGGCAACTCGAACTGATGTACGTACGTACGAAGTTTTACGTTGTTACTGACTGATGGTCATAATACACAGAGTAAAGTAAACTGGATTTGTTAGGTTACACAGCCTATCAAGAAAGTATGATAACGTTGAATATAAAAGTGAACATGTCTTTTTGAATTACTGTATAATCTAACTTCTCAAATGTTATAATTTTTACGCTCGCTATCAAGACTATTCAGACCACTTATACAAACATACACATGAGATGTAAGTGATATGGTTGAAATGAGAAGTTTCATATTTAGTTTGTCTTCCTCTTTACTTTATAATTAGGAGGGTTACGCATTAAAAGCACCTATTAATAATACATTTTCAAAGTGCAGACTAGTATATATAACTATTTAGCCTGATAATAATGTGTTTATAATTTCCAAAACAAACAGATACGAAATTTGAGGCATTTACGAATAGGATACTGTTATGTCCCGACAAGAATAATGAATGGTAACTTTTGGGATCTATTGATGGACCAGTACTCAACGTATATTTCTACTGTATAATTATTAAGTAACTAAACTATGCATATTCATATTCCTCTTATTATAAGCTTTATGTTGACCCATAAACTATTATTATATGTTTTACCATTCTTGAGTTATACCTAGTATATTAATTACTACCTCCGTCATTCATAGCCACATTTGGCTAATTCTTGTACAAATGTTGTTTCATATTTTATTGGTACGTTGTGGTCTGCTTGATTGGTATATAAACAAAGTATGCTCTAAATATAATAATTCCTATCGCAGAGGCTCGGATTGGTGTTCTGGACTTAACTGGCTGGGCTAAACGGAAAGCAGGACCAATCAGGACTCTAGGCTGCTCGCACGTGTTTTACGCGTCCTTGGTCCGATCGATAATTCGCTGCTCCCTAATTGGCGGTCACAATTTATAACAGATACAAAATGATTTTTATCCATTTTTAAAAATAATATAACTTTTTGATGAATTTTAACAAAAAATTTTTCAAGTCAATCGTACACAAGGTTGTACAATTGTCGGTCCAGTTTAAACCAACCCACACGAGTATATTGTGGTAAACTCATCAAAATGAAAAACAGAACAGAGGAAATAATCATATCAATCGTATTGGAAACTAAGCATAGAAAATATAGGTCGGAAAGGACCGCCGAAAGTAAGGAATAACACTAAGTTAAAGATATAAAGTAGACAGAACCAATGGATTTGTGCTACTATTATCGAATGGGAATCATAGTGTTAGTCAAGTCTTTTAAACGTAAGTTATGATAACCTCGTGGACTACAACCAGAAGGTCGACGATTTCTGGAGCGACTCAGTTCGATTGTACATAGATTCATGAACTGACAACATTTCTTTATTTAGTTACAACCAGTTGTCTACAATTTTTGCTAGTTAGCATAGAAGGTGGACGTAAGCGATGGCTGACAGATATGTTGTTCATGTCAAGCCACTGTCTGCATGTTGCAATAAATCCAAACAACAAAGATATAATAGTAAGAAACACTAGGGATTATGTAGAATCTAAATAAGAATTTTCTGCAATCTTTAATTGGTCGTCAGATAATGACTGGTTGGAAGACGGACCATGATCCAATCAGAATATATGAGTTTGAACCCGATCTACTTGTGAAATACAGTTAGAACTGAATTCTGATAACATAGATCTTAATCAAATAGTTGAATTCTAAAGTGTTTATCATGAAATATGATAATCTCAGGATCAATTTAGTTATGAGTACATAGTTTGATATGTCCTGAGTTTCTAATTGTGATAAAAGTTCTTCAAATATGTTTTATGTGTTACTAATTTAGTAAACAATTTCATAAATGTGTAGTGCTCGGCACTGAGTTACATTCAACATGTAAGCGTAAATATTACTCGTCAACTGTTTGAGGTATCCAAAGTATGTATAATGGGTTACACACTAGTAACCCAACAGCTAAAATTGAGGTTCATTAACTACTAAGTCAAATTATTGCTACTGTACGTTATTCAATATATTCTTTGATTTATACTTTTTTCTTAGTCCATAAAAGACAGTTCCCAATCCAAGCAAAATATGATAACAGGAAAAGTATACAAGACATTCAAAATTATATTATTAGCAAAATGTAATAACCTCAGCAAATTTTTTAAAAAAATTTAATATCAGTCAGTCAGTAACAATGTAGAACTTCGTACGTACTTACATCAGTTCGAGTTGCCATAAATACATTAGCACAGAGATGCAGTGGTCGATTCAAATCCCGTAGTGGTAGAGGTAATAAGAGTATAAGCAGTAATCGGGAAGATTAATGCTTGGAGATGTTATTTAAAGAGTATAATACAGTGAAATAAATTTGGAAAGAGGAAAAAAGGGACATGAAGAATTCAGAAGATTAGAATTTGGGAGAACACAGAGAATGGATGCACCTGCGCCATTGCAAACGATTTTGAGCCATGTCGTTCAGGGTCTCTAACCATCGGTTGCTATCATCTCGCGGTCCCCAACCAGGTAGTCTACACCTACTAACATGACTCAGTCTACTTATCAGTGACTTCATGGACTTGTGCCATGTTTTGGTCTGGCCGCCCCTAGCTTTCTTCCAACATACTCCTATACCACTGAACATCGCATGTCGAGGCAGTCGGTCGTTGGGCATACGTAGCACATGTCCCAGCCATCTCAGCTGATGAAGTTTCACTACGTCATCAATTGATTTGCCATCCTTACCTAGTACCCGTTTCCTAACAACTGTGTTACTTACTCGATGGTCCCATGATATACGAGCAATGTTTCGAAGACACCTATGATCAAATACTAGTAAGCTACGGATATCCTCTACTCTTACCGGTCATGTTTCACTGCCATAAAGTAGGACGGTACGAACTGCTGCGCAGTAAACCCGTCCTTTGGTTGATAGACTGATATCTCGCCTACGTCATGAATGACGCAAGTTGGTAAAAGCTAGTCGAGCCTTCCGTATCCGTGCTGAGATTTCGTCACACACCAGACCACAAAGGCTGATGAGACTTCCAAGATAAGTGAAGCGATCGATACGCTCAATTACTTCACCCCCTATCATTAGTTCGGGTGTCAATGCAACCCAGTCCTGAAGCAACATTTTGCATTTCGAGGGGGAGAATCGCATCCCGAACATGCTTGCATTGTTGCTTAGAGTGGTCAGAAGACTCTGCACTTTGTCAGCGTCTTCACTAAATAAAACTGTCATCAGCATATTCTAAGTCAACAAGTGAACCTCCCGGTAGAAGTTCAACCCCTAGGAATCTAAACGAGGAAAGTGTTATCTCTAAAAGTGCGTCGACGACAAAGTTGAACAAGAATGGAGATGGTGGGCAGCCCTGACGAACACCACTTGAGGTAATCAATTCTGATGACAGTTCGCCATAAGCTCTCACTCTACCAGTTGTGTTCGAGTAGAGAGCCTGTATAAGGTTAATGTACTTCTTTGGTACTCCTTTCAGTGACAAACACTGCCATAGAACCTCACGATCTACAGAGTCGAATGCCGCCTTAAGGTCGAGAAATACTACCATTGTGGGGCGTCTGAATGTGTGTCTCTGTTCTAGAACCTGACGTAGTGTGAATATCTGATCTATACAACAACGTCCAGGTCGAAAACCGGCCTGGTTTTCTCTAATCTGCTCTTCACGAGCTTTGATTAGGCGTCGAAGTATTATTGAAGCTAATATTTTAGACACTATATTGGTCAAACTGATTCCTCTGTGATTGTCACAAGAGGACTTTTGTCCTTTCTTATAGACTGGCACAACCAGTGATTGAGACCAGTCAGATGGGATTACGTCCAGTTCCCAAATTCTACCTAAGACCTCGGTTAATCTCATTGCTAATACTGGACCACCATCCTTAAAAATCTCAGGAGTAAACCTGTCAGGGCCTGCTGCTCTCCCTCGCTTCAGATTTCCTATGGCTTTTTCAACTTCGTAAAGGGACGGAGGACCTACATTAACTTGCCATTCAGGTTGACTGGAGATCGTGGGAAACCGAAGTGTGGCTGAAGGCCAGTTGAACTGATCCCTAAAGTGTTCTGCCCATCGATCCAATCTCCTGGATTGAGAATGAATAATATGTCCATCTTTCTCTGAGATTGTTTCGCTAACGGTCGGGTTCCTAATTCTGGTTTCCTTAACGAGTCTGAACAATTGTCTGCTATTACCTATTGCCCCTGCCTTTTCTATCTCTCTTGCTTTCGCTACCCACCACCGTTCGCGATCATTGCGTAGACTTCTTGTCAGCTTGCGCTTAAGCTGACTCCGCTCTTCATTATGTTCAGAGCCAGGTGGAATGAGTTTCCGAGCATCTATCAGTGCGATAGATGCTGTTGAGATCCAGTGTTGCTCCCTAACCTTCTGGTTTACCTTACTAGCAGATATCACTGCTGTTTCCACAGCTTTTCGGATATCATTCCATGCTGCATCGGGGTGGGCATCACATACATGGCTGCCTAACTGTTTGCCTAGTTGTTCCTGAAATATACTCTTAGCTTGACTATCATTAAGTAGGCCCCTAAGAGGTTTCCTTGCAGCGTCTTTCCTACGTCCAGTAAGACGCAAGCAAATACGCGCTCGCACTAGAGCATGATCTGAATCTAGGCATGTGCTCCAAAATGAGCGACAGTCTTCTATCGAGCCCCTCCATCGGTGGCTGATAGCGATGTGATCTATTTGGGTCCAACGTTGGGACGAATTAGGGGGTTGCCATGTTAAAAGATGTTTTTCCTTATGCTTAAAGTTAGTATTTGCAAGGAACAGGCGGTTATATGAGCATAGCTGCAACAGACGGTCGCCATTATCTGTTCTTTGAGCCACGACACCATAAGATCCACCTAGGTGTCTTTCCCTATCGCTTAGTTTACCTACTTGAGCATTAAAGTCACTAGCCACTATTACTACATCCGAGCGCTTAGCTTTTCGGAGAAGGTCCGAAAGCTTTCTGTAAAACTCATCTTTTACATCATCTGAGCTGCAGTCAGTGGGAGAATAGGCAGAGACGACGAAGAGGCAACGACGAGTGTCCCTATCTTTCCGGATTCTTACTGTTCCGTTCAGTCGGACAGCACACAAACGACTGTCTACTGGGATCCACTCTAAGAGAGCTAGTTCTGCCCTAGGACTCAATGCTATACCTACGCCGGCGAGGCCACGGGAAGCAGAATCAGGGCTTCCAGGTACACGAAGCGTAAATCGAGTCGGTTCTTTATTTTGGCATGGTGAGGTCAAATGAATGACGCTACTCGGGTACTGTATGCGCGTTTCGGAGACGCAGCATACATCGATGGCGCGAGATCCTAAAGTTTTAGCTAAGGAAGCCTGCTGTCCTATTTGGCAAAAAGTTCGTACGTTAAAAGCTCCTACGTGTAGTTTAGAGCGTGGTTTCAGGAGACCAGGAATGGCGTTCCACGTACTCGAATCGTTTGCCCTAGCGGTGCGAGGTGATAAGGAGACGTGGGGAGGGTTAGTCGGGGAGGTAAGAGAGGAATTAGAAGGTGTAGGAAAGATTTGAATGTGACCACCTTGGTCTCTTGTGCTGTTACGGGTATGAGGGCTGATGTCACTTCCCGGATGCCCACACCGTGGAAGGGTATTTCTTGAGGAACCTGAAAAGGAAATTGGATTAGAGGTGGTCTCAGTGACCTGAGAGCGTGACCGCAGTGCCCAAGGGACAACTGCTTGAGGCCGGTCGCGCACGGCCTTTTCGTGGAAGGTTTTCGACGTGTTAGCTCCGTTCTTCAAAGGGCCTTACCGCCGGAGACGGAAATCCGTGAGGTAAGGTGAGGTGTGACATTTTTAGGGTCGACCTTTTCTAACCCCACCCCTCCTTGTGGGAAGGCAGCATCGCTGTCATGCTGGTTGTCTGAAGGAAACACCTTACTGCTGTCACACCTCTGTACAGTCAGCAGTACGACTTCGCCTTCGGACCCTGGGTTTGTTGCTTTTAGTCTTACCGTTCACCAATCGACCTGCCTGGAATGGTAGAACCTGCAGGAACATATGTTCCAGCCAATATAGCTCGGTTGGGTCATCACGATGGACAAGCCCGACCACCGCGTCAAGGTAGCAGCTTCGATCGGGACAAATTTAATATGCATAAAAACGATAATAATTACACATAAATGACTGTTAATCACAGATGATAATAAAGGAGATAAAAACATACTTGTTTAGAACTGATAAGTGATAAAGCGAATTGATACCAGATATGAAATTGATGATAAGAAAACTTGAGTGCTTTTTCAAGGCACTACATATAATCATAAATGTAAAAATGAAAAGAAAATTGTGAAATATGACCATAATTATTTATGGAGTAATTATTGTTGAAATTACAATCATTGGCATGACATCAATTCACTAAATATATTTTGAATAGTCAATGCTGGTCGTTGGAGAGCTATATGAAACTATGTTTAGTTATCTCCAACCCTTTTGTTAGGAGATTAAGGTACACTGTAAAAATCACAGTTAGAAACAATACAAATATACCAGAATTCACTCAACAATGAAGGCTGAGAAACTTTGGATTAATCGTTATTCGGCAACTTACTTTAGACCTTTCATCATGTTAGATGTAGCCCTAACACAAACACAAATTACATCCTTTTTCGAAATTTTATGATTTGAGTCAACTAGCAGAAAGCTATAAACCAATAACTTAGGGGTTTCTAGCCGCATATTAATTGATTTAATCTCACCTGACAAGTTGATCAACAGAATACGATTAGGAGGCTGAAGGAACTAGATATTATAACATTTGTTATTACCCAGTGGTTGGTTAAGGTTGATATGAAAGGGAAAGAATTAAGCCTCGGTAATTAGGGATTCTGTTGAAGAGTGAATAATATATGGTTTTCATACCCTCCAATTATTTAGTTGTTAAACTACTACTAATCATATTTATTTTTGTGTTTGACAGTTTGTATATAAGAATATTTATTTTCCAAGATAACCTATTCTATTGGCCGGAGGTTTTTACTTTTTATATCAGTTCATTTGAGGGCTCATGTTAATAATTCGATCTCGTGAGAAACTATCACTCGGCCTCACTATATCATTGCATATTATCAATCAATCGGTGCATTTCCTTCATTAGTCCAACAAACTCCTTATGTCCTTTTATTACAAACTATACAGAAGCGTGCTTTGTATCAGTGACTTACTGAGTGATTAACCATTAGGCTACTCTTTAAATTGCTAAGTTGGACTAACCCGTTTAATTTATATAACCTTTTCGCTGACTAATGGTAGTTATCGTAATCACTTACTTTAAAACTGTTGTGTTTGTTTATCTTAATTCGTTATCTAGTGCGTATACAATAACTTCAAAAACACGGAGTGCGAATGGCAGTGAAATTTATAAATATTGACTATTATAATTGAATACAAGGCATAATTCTGTCTTATAGCATCCTGTTCGTGATAAAAAGATACGTGGGGTTTGAGAAAGATAACAAATAAAACCAAAGATTCTAATCATGGAAACGATGAAAATGACAATTATAGATGCGAAAATGCTCGCTGATCAGTCTATATATTAGGCTTCCAAACATCAATAAAGACTTTTCTGTCTGATCACGATATTATTCCACATTTAACTCGGATTATAATACCAGTATGATGTTGGATTTTGTGAATTTAAGTTATTCATCAAGTTAGCTAAAGCTTAATTGACCTGGATTGCGATTGATTCCAGTTAAGAACAAGCGAATATCCCTCACTTATGCAACAATTAAACACAGAATGTCATGATTTCAGATAGAAATCGGGAACTGATGATTAGCAGTAGTGTCTGGTAACTTAACAGACAGACGATTAGAAAACGTGAAGTGACTAACAAAGTATTGGTCTGAAGTAGTAAAACAATATTGATTTCGTGGTTAGAGTTTGTGATAGTTGAAATCGACGGCCAAAGGTTGCGCATTTGATGAAAAAGTTATAGTGGAGCAAATGTACAGTAAATATTATCATTGTACAGATTTTGACAGTTTATTATTGCCAAATCTCTTCGAAGTGCGATACGAACAAATAAGCTATCAAGCCATGTATTATGATGTGTTGATTTGCCTCCGTAGATCACTAAACAAAAGTTAAAGTGACTAATCATTTAAATTCAGATGACATTAAAACTTTATTTAATTATTATGGCTATATAGTGAATAAATATGCACAAGCAACTTCAATTTTCAATGATTACGCGCATCACATACATATTGAGCTTTTTCTCTCCAAGAAAGCATAACAGTTCAAAATAACTCACTTTAGAAAGAAATTTGAAATGTTTAACTTTAGTAAGAAGTATGGCAAGTAAGTCGTAGACAGCAGCTGCATTGTTAAATGATCGAACTATTTGTGGTTCAGATAATTCTGACGGTCGATTAAGTATAACATCTTGACTGGCCTACAAATTTATACACATGAAAATAAACATGATTAAACAACAGCCCAAAGTGATTGTTTATCTTGTCTTTAAGATATCAGAGTCGTATATTTAGAAACTGATTGTAATTAATTGGTGAAAATAAGAGTATAACATTAGTGAGTATCCCTGTGACACCTCAATAATACTATGAACAGCTTTAACGACTAGACAGTTTGAGAACACTTTAATTATAAATGATAAAACTTCCATAGTTAGATTTTTTACATTATATGATGTTCAGTTGAAGATGGGTGGTGTTACACAACTATTACGAGTTGACAATAATAGCTTTTCAATATTTTTAGGTTGAAAGTAGTAGGTATGATAACACTTTTGATTTAAATAAAGAAAATTTCAGCTTAAACGGAAATCTGGTATAAAAATACATTATGTAATAAATTTTACTCATCTCAGGACATAGGCAAAATAGACAACCAAAAAATGTACAGTAAAATAAAAGATAAGATAAACCACAGAATATAGAACAATTTATTTATCAGTTCCCTGTTTAGTACAAATTGGATGAATCATGCACTAACTGGGAAATCTGAATTTGAAATCGGAATTCGACAATAATTATCATATCAAATCGAAATGCTTTTCCTTTCTCAAGAAACTTTGGAGGATCGATTGAAACTAAGAGTAACATTAGAGTAAATATTTCAATTGTCGTTGCGATCAAGACTACAGTGATAGCGTTGACATCGAAACCCGTCGACTGCAGAACCTTCAACAATTTAAATTAATATTTCAGAGGTATTACAAAAAAATTTCCTGACAATATACTAAGATAACTCTGCTGAAAGCATCGGACAATCCAATTGTGTGAAAGTGATATGTGGAGGCGAAAGTTACTTAGTTAATACTTTATATATATATATATATATATATATATATATATATATATATATATATATATATATATAATCATCTTTCTTATCAGTATTGAAATATGAAAGCTTACAACATGAATATACATTTATAGTAAAACTTACTATGTGTTCGGAAATCATTAACGAAAAAATGGCTTCTTCTATTCGATTGTCTGGAATGTATCTATTTGTAGGATATCGGTATGGAATTAGTTGTGCATCCTAATATCAAAGAAAATATATGATGAAAACAAAACAGTAGAATACTACAAAATACAAGTAATTTCCTGTGAACTGTTCAATCATGAATTACAGCGTGAATAAAAAAACATGGTGAAATAAGCTTTGAACTGGAATAATGCTGAATAAAGTATGATAATTCATACTATGTACCTAGGACAAGACTATTAAGATAAAAATACTTCATCACCAAACTACGTTTAACATATTAAACTCAAAATGTAGATAACATGGAAATATACGGTAACTTAACAAATCATCACATCAAATAAAAACGAATAAATTAACTGATTTATACGGTATTTTGGGTTCGAATCATACTTTATGTATGATTGGCTAGCGATACTACCAGGTTGATCAAACCGAAGTAGGTAGAGAGGTGTTCAAGACTGGGACTTAGTGAATAGAAATTAAACGCCTTGGACATTAGCCCCCGCCACACACACCACATTATCAACCAGTGAATTCATTTGTTAATTTTTACGACTGACAATATACAACATAAATTTGTAAATTACGTTCAACTATGCCGCTTTTATTCAGAATATAGTCTTATATTTCATAAAAATCTAGGCAAACTAAATAAAGGATACTTTTCAACTGACTCTTAGTTGGGAAATAATTTAGCCAACGGGCACGTTGATTAACAAAGCGACCATGGTTTCTGTGACGACAAATCTACTGAGTGTTGTTTTGTAATCTTGAAATGACCATTTGAATATGTAGTAAATATATCAGACGAAACAAAGACTGGTTTATTTCGTAACTTCTCGTTTATTAATTGAAGGAGGGATTGTGAAAAGTATCCGACCGTTGTTGCTACCTTGACGTGGTGGTCGGGCTTGCCTATCGTAATGAAGCAACCGAGCTATACTGGCTGGAACAACCGTTCCTCAAGGTCCTACCATGTCAGACAGGTCGGTTGAAGAGCGGTAAGACTAAAAGCAACAAACCCAGGGTCCGAAGGCGAAGTCGTACTGCTGACTGTACAGAGGTGTGACAGCAGTAAGGTGTTTCCTTCAGACAACCAGCATGACAGCGATGCTGCCTTCCCACAAGGAGGGGTGGGGTTAGAAAAGGTCGACCCTAAAAATGTCACACCTCACCTTACCTCACGGATTTCCGTCTCCGGCGGTAAGGCCCTTTGAAGAACGGAGCTAACACGTCGAAAACCTTCCACGAAAAGGCCGTGCGCGACCGGCCTCAAGCAGTTGTCCCTTGGGCACTGCGGTCACGCTCTCAGGTCACTGAGACCACCTCTAATCCAATTTCCTTTTCAGGTACCTCCAGAAGAACCCTTCCACGGTGTGGGCAACCGGGAAGTGATAACCGCCCTCATACCTCTAACAGCACCCAAGACTACCGTATTCATAATCAACCTTCCTCTTCAATTCCTATTATTCCTCCTACATCGACTTTCAACCCTAAACTTCCTCCTTCGGCTTCCTCCTCAAGTGTCACCATAGCCAACGATTCTAGTGCTCAAAACTCTGTCCCAGGTCTACTGAAACCTCGCTCCAAACTACACACTGGAGCTTTCAACGTACGCACTCTTTGTCAAATTGGTCAGCAGGCTTCCTTGGCTAAAACCCTAGAGTCTCTTTCCATTGATGTATGCTGTGTCTCCGAAACACGCATACAGGATTCCAGTGTGGTCATTCACTTGACCTCACCTCGGCAAAACGGAGAGCCGAGATACACCCTACGTGCATCTGGTGACCCGATGGCCAGTTCTCGTGGACTGGCAGGTGTAGGCATAGCACTAAGCATGAGGGCGGAACAAGCACTGCTAGAGTGGATCCCCGTCAACAGTCGTCTATGTGGTGTTCGGCTAAACGGCTACGTAAGAACTCGGAAGGATAGGGACACACGTCGTTGCCTTTTCGTCGTTTCTGCCTACGCTCCCACTGACTGCAGCTCAGACGATGTGAAAGATGAATTTTACAGAAAGCTTTCTGAACTTCTTTAGAAAGCTAAACGCTCAGACATAGTACTCGTTGCAGGTGACTTTAATGCTCAGATAGGTAGCTTAAACCAAACAGAAAGGCATTTAGGTGGATATTTTAGCATTCCGGCACAGCGAACAGATAATGGTGATCGTCTGCTGCAACTATGCTCAGACAATCGCTTATTTTTAGCAAACACAAATTTTAAGCATAAGGAGAGACATCGTCTAACGTGGCGACCGCCTGCACCAAGCCAACGATGGACTCAAATAGACCATATTGCCATCAGTCATCGTTGGAGAGGATCGATAGAAGATTGTCGCTCATTCTGGGGTACCTGCTTGGACTCCGACCATGCCCTAATACGGGCACGCATCTGCTTGCGCCTCACTGGATGCAAAAAAGCCACATTAAAAAGACCCGTTAGAACTGAGTTGAGTAACGAGAAAACCAAAAGTAGGTTCCAGGAACAACTGAGGTCACACTTAGGTAATTGTGAAGACGAGGCTGACCCAGATGTTGCTTGGAAAGATATACAAGCAGCTGTGGAAGCAGCAGTGACATCTATTAGCGACTTAAACCACAGAGTTCCAAAGAACCAGTGGATTTCTTCAAAGTCTATCACACTGATGGATTCTCGCAAACTCGTTCCATCAAGTTCCGAACATGAGGAAGAGCGACAACAAATCAGATCTAGGTTAAGAAAAAGTCTAAGAAACGACCGTGAGCAGTGGTGGGCAACGAAAGCAAAAGAGATGGAAAAGGCGGCGACTATAGGGAACACAAGACAGCTTTACAGACTAATAAAAGAAACTGGAATTAATAGGTCAAGTGTAAGTGAGATTATATCGGAAAAAGACGATACACTCATCTGCTCCCAGTCCAGGCGTTTAGAACGATGGGCGGAACATTTCAGAGAACAGTTCAGCTGGCCTTCAGCTACTCTACAACTACCCTCCATTCCCAGACAGTGTGAATGGAACATTGAAGTAGGTCCCCCAGCTCTAGCAGAAGTTCAAAAGGCTATAGTTAATCTGAAACGAGGAAGGGCAGCTGGTCCAGATGGGTTGGCTCCAGAAGTCTTTAAGGATGGTGGTCCAATTTTAGCTAAGATCTGGGAGTTAAACGTAATCCCATTTGACTGGTCACAATCACTTATCGTCCCAATATATAAGAGAGGGTTAAAATCATCCTGTGACAACCATAGAGGAATTAGTTTAACTAATATAGTATCTAAAATACTAGCTTCGATAATTATCAGACGCCTAACTAAGACTCGTGAACTGCAAACACGAGAAAATCAGGCTGGCTTCAGACCTGGTCGTGGCTGCATCGACCACATATTCACCATTCGCCAGATTCTAGAACACAGGCATACTTATCGGCGTCCGACAATGGTGGTCTGTCTCGACTTAAAAGCAGCATTTGACTCGGTAGACCGCGAGATTCTGTGGCAGTGTCTGTCATTGAAAGGCGTACCCCAGAAGTACATAAACCTTGTGAAGGCTCTTTACCCGAACACTACTAGTCGAGTCAGGGCTTATGGCGAACTGTCATCTACTTTTGCAACTTCAAGTGGTGTCCGTCAAGGCTGTCCACTTTCTCCATTTTTGTTTAACTTCATCATAGACTTATTGATGGAAATAACATTCTCGTCGACTGAATTCTCGGGTATTGATCTCCTTCCAGGAGGTCCACTTATCGACTTAGAATACGCAGATGACATAGTCCTGTTTGGTGAAGACGCTGACAAAATGCAGAGTCTTCTGGTAGCACTGAGCAACAATGCCAGGATGTTTGGAATGCGCTTCTCTCCCTCTAAATGCAAGTTATTGCTTCAGGACTGGTCTGCGTTAACACCTGAACTAAGGATAGGGAGTGAAGTAGTCGAACGCGTTGGCAACTTCATTTATCTTGGAAGTCTGATCAGCCCTAATGGGTTGGAATCTGACGAAATCTCTGCACGGATTCGAAAAGCTCGTTTGGCTTTTGCCAACTTACGTCACCTTTGGCGGAGGCGAGATATCCGTCTATCAATAAAAGGACGAGTATACTGCGCGGCAGTCTGTTCTGTCTTACTTTACGGCAGCGAAACATGGCCATTAAGAGTAGAAGACACTCGTAAGCTATTAGTATTTGACCACAGATGCCTCAGAAATATTGCTGGCGTCTGCTGGGATCACCGGGTAAGTAATAGTGAGGTTAGACGCAGGGTATTAGGGAATGATGGTAAATCTGTTGATGAGGTTATGAATCTTCATCGACTGAGATGGTTGGGCCACGTGTTACGTATGCCTGAACACCGATTACCGCGACGTGCAATGCTATCCGGTATTGGAAATGGTTGGAAGAAAGTTAGGGGCGGCCAAACCAAAACGTGGCATCAGTGCTTGAAGTCACTGACTTCTAGTCTGAGCCATGTTGCTAGATGCAGACTACTTGGTTGGGGTCCGCGTGACTATCGTAACCAATGGTTGGAGACTCTTGGTGACATGGCTCAGAATCGATCACAATGGCGTCGGTGTATACACTCCCTGTCTTCCCTTAAACTAAGAGATTAAAATCACTTCATATCTTTCTTTCTACGAACCATTTCTTTCTTCTTGTACTATATCTCTATATGCAATCTTTCTCTTATATATTACTACCTTTGACCTAACCACTGCTATGAATCCGGTGTTCATCTTGTTGTGCTGATGCGGTATGGCAACCTGGACCGATGCATATATGTGCCTGGTCCTACGTTGTAGCTGACTGACTGACTGACTGTGAAAAGTATAAATATACTTTGATCATAGAACTCATACTAAGCAGTATTGAATGATATAACCGTTATACTGACAAGTAGAGATATTACGGTACATATAGTTACTGCCCATGATTTTCGTTTACAATTGAGAAAATAAGGTGTCTTTTTTAATGGCTTTACCTCTTTCGAGACGGAATGTGGCAATATAAGAGAACTGTTTGTCAGCGACTACGTACAGGTTTCTAAGCGAGTCAGGGGTTATAGATACGTAAGCATATAACCACTTTTATGCTCGTGTACTGCAAATTATTACTTCGTAATTTTCGAACTAGGTTATGTAATGAATTGGATAGACATATGAATTTGCTGCGGTAACTAAACTTCCTACACTAAGTACCAGTAGCATTTATGGGGACCAAGTATCAATAATAAGATTGTTTGACTGACTTTGAAAAAAGAGCCTCTACGGCAGCTGTTTAAGATTTGAATGATTTAAAATGATTGATATTTTAGGTTGATTAGTCCTAAACACCTGGACCTCGAAAAGACATTTCATACCTTTTCTTGCATGCGTTTGAAAACTGAAGGTATGTATATTTAGTATAAATCAAGTGGAAAATTTGTTTCTCTAAAACAATGAAAGTACAGAAGGAAACATTTGTTGAATCAAAATAAAAATGAGTGGTTTAAATTAATAGCAAACCTTATCTGTTGAGGAATCTTGATCCATCGATGTATTATACTTGTGATATGTCTTTATGCATACACTCCGTAACAGCAGTTCAGAAAACCGTAAGGATAAAGCTCGTCTAAGAGACCTGGTAGCAGGCAACTCACAATATCCAAGAATAGTTCGATATTTCGAAATAGCACCAGGTATGTCACTTGGAGAAAATAAAAATTTAGAGGCAAAACAGTTGTGTCAATCGAGATCGCAAATATCAAATATATTTTTATTTTATACGGCCAAATGTTAACCATCTTTATCTTTTGAGAGTCCGGAATCCGGATCCTAATAAAACAAACCCAAGAATTACTCTGCCATTACAAATCACACAAGAACAATATCTACCTTAATTTTTTTAGAACAATTTTTCTATTATATATGTTACTGAAATACGAAGCATGATGTCAAGCCAGATGCTAATGGGGAACGGTAATCTGAAATAATGGCCATATCGGCTAGGCTTTACGTCGCGTACAACTGACAAAATAATTAGTTTGATTTATTAGTACTATATGAGGACCTAATTTAAACTGGAGTAACATCTAAGCCCTCCAATAGAGGTCCTGCTCCTGTTTTTAAAAGGTCACACTACTCAATGCTTGAATGCCTGTAGTGAGGCATCACAGAAAGATCCGAGTGGTACAGACAACCAGCGCCAACTAATAAATGAATAACCAGCTGGAGATTTTATTGAGGACGTAGGTGGGAAAGTTTACGATATTCGTAAGTCATAAACACTAAGGATGGGTTTCAGATATACTCTGTGCGTGCTTGACTTACGAATTCGCAATGCAGAATTAGTTGCTACTGTTGTTAGATTTGCTAAAGATGGGTGTTAATGAGAAATCTTAATAATCAATTTCAAAAATATTGTTGTTTATTTGAATGCAAAACAGTAAACTGGCAAACCTCCTTTCTGAGTTCTACCATGACAGCTCTTTAAATAGTATACTTAATCCAAACATTATTACGAAATGCTGACCCGGTATTACTAAATTACATTGCTCGTTACAAGTTATTATTATTTATTTTATTTTAACACATAGATATTGGTACGAGGCACCAAATACATATGCACCACACAGATCTCATTCGATATGTGTGGGCTGTGATGCTGCCCAGGTGCCCGAACCGAAGCAGGTGGTTTTCTTAGGAGGCCACACCCGCAGCCTTCGACCTGAAGGTCTGATCCAAAAGAAAGTGTAGCAACGTAAGGAGATGCAGTTCCATGGTAGCCTGTGACCAACGATTGGTTCATACGCCTTTTGTTCCTTCAGGATACTGGAGCCCATGTGCACCATTGGTTTGGAATCAGGGTTTCCCAACTCACCTAGGTGGACTCTCTATGTCCACCAACCCGGTTAAAGCGCCGTACGTTCGCTTTTCGTCCTCTCAATTCCGTAAACAACACCCCCGCCACGAGAAGGCAGTGAGTAGGACTTCCCTGGCAGAGGCTATATACGCGTGGCCATGTGAGAGCATTTTGAGAGGGAGAGCTGACTCTTCCCACTCTCGGTCGTACCAGGGCATTTGGGGGCCTCGTTACAAGTGTGACGAAGTGATGCTTGTAAGGAACAGTCTACGGTGTAGTATACTACATCAGAGTATAAAGCTAGGAAAAGGTTATCGGAAATGTAGAACAAAATCTGTAGAACGTGATAATAAAGAAAAAAGTCTTTATGGTATAAGAGCACTGTAAAACGAATAAGCAATATAAACGACGGTATACACTACAGTAGACACATAAAGCGGATACACTGAACCATTGTCTATTTTAAGATAGAAGATCAAGGTACAATAGTTATTAGTGACATTATAAGTGGTCACCGCCAAATGATGCATCATAGCACTCTCGAATCCGATTTACCAGAAGGAAAATGTCAGCAACTTAAAATATACATAGACGGCTTAAAAGTACTTGCCTTGTGTATTGTTAAGTGGATAAACTATATTGTCATTACCTCAAAAATTTTGCACTTTCCATAAGAGTGCACTAATTATGTTTTGCTTATTTGGTTGTTATATAGGACGTGAAATTTAGGCAATAGCCTAGCTCCCTTAAATGTTTGTATTTTAGAAGATAAAATTACAATGCTTGACTGAAATTCTGAATGTTTTCTAGCTCATCAGTCTGAACCTTTTCCTGTTTTTTATAGATTTCCACAAGAATATATTCCGACACCTCTTATGACATATCACCAAATTAGATACAAATCTACAACTAATCATAACTTCATACAAAACAGGACTGTTGAGAGTTGCCGCAAATCGAAACATCACTTAAAAATTGGTTGACTACACACAGTAATGCTTAAGAGTGATACAAAATATTATTAACATATCGTTCTGAAAATGGCAAACATCAATTGCTTTGTTTGGTAAACACAAACATATCATATGCCAAAGGACTTAGAAGGTAAAACAAAAATACTTCTTTACCCCTTTTTAATCAGAATTTCCGGAATCTTTTGTATGACTTTTTCTACAATCGGTGGTAGACTGACAGATGAATTGGTATGTTCTGGTTGAGTTCGATCTAATTCCTGAAGATGTTTTATGCACATGTGACAAGCTAGGTTGAATAAATTAATGATATTGTCTCTCTCTTTTGATATGTCAGATAGGCTTTTTAGCTTTGACTGTTCTTCTTTGCACAAACCTGTGAAGTCAAAACTAGTTAAGTAAAAGAAGCATACCCAATACAGCCAAACCCTCACTAACGATGTAATTGAAACGCAGTGTAATAGGGTCCATTTTGGCAGATAACAAATTGAGGGAACTTAAAATCTTAAGAGCTTTTTCACTATTCCCCTGTAGATAGTATATTTTCCCAAGAAGGACAGATGCCTCAAATTTATATTGCTCGTCATTTCCATTCATAACTTCTTCCGCATACCTCTTAGCCTTGGACAAATTTTCTGGTGGTAATTCACCTTGATCGTTCCATTCTAGTTCATTCTCACAAAGTATTAGCTGATTTAACATATCTATTACAAGCAAAATATATAATTTTTTAAAATTTCCCTACGAAGAGACGTGGAGCGGTCGGATCCATGGGATAGGATTACTTCTAAGGCCTTACTCCAAAAGCCCTCAGAACGGTATCGCTCAACATCTATCTCGATTTTACCCTTTTTAGTTTTGACAGCCTTCACCGTAGACATCCCATTGAAAGACCGCCAAGAATATGAGGACGAAGTATGACGCAACGCCTCAATTTCTAGAAACCAATTTATTGGTATTTTCTCATGCATGCTTCACTTCGAATGAATTACGATTTCGACGAATATCATAAGGTGTAAACTATTCGTTTTAAATGTTTTGAGATTCAAATTCAGATTTGTAAAGTAAGTATAGAAAGCCTACAATCGTTGATGTGGCGTTAGATAAATCCCCAAACTAAATAAATCTGTAAATCTTCGACATTGGATGCTGGCCACATTAGCTTTAATAGGCTTACCTAACTGAAGGCACTCGGTCATGCATCCAAACCAGATCACGAGTGGTGACGCCGTGCCCAACATCCCCTGCAATCGCTAGCCAGATTAGATCAGTCGATCCTCGATATACTGATAGAGTATCAAATATATCTTTGAACCTCCTCGCTTCCGTCTTTTGATTTCACTTGGTGGGTACGATTAATATTAGAAGGTGTTACTGGTTAAAGTGTTGTCGAACTTCAAATACCTTTGGCATCTTCATTGGTCAGCTCGACGTGAACTGGTGCACCAAACTGTAAAGTGTGGGTCTGTTCTTCCCTGGAATTCTGTATATTGTTGCTTTATTTCGTTTTTTATATATTGTGATATTTGTTCCGTGTTTTTGGACATATTTATATATTTTTTCTTCCTCGTCCGTTCTCGCACTTGATATTTCACCATGACTGAACAGACACTCAAGGTACTTTAGGTAAAGACTATGTCCCCACTTTCGTTCCATCTGATTCCCTTCTTGCCGGAAAACATCGAAGCTTGGTTCTGCTACGAAGAAGTCAACTTCCACGAGCACGGCGTGAACGACACACGTCCACAACTCCTCGCAGTAGTCAAGGCACTACCACGCGAATTCACCAAGTACGTAACACCTAGTATGTTTACTAGTGATGTTTTGGAACCTTATTAAACACTGAAACGTTTTATTCTTAAATGCGGAGACCTAACCGATAGACAAAGGTTAGACCAACTACTTAATAACATCGACCTGCAACACGGTTGTGCGGCGGACATGTTGCAACGAATGAGAGAGGTTATCGACCCACGAACCTTCGATGATGGCCTACTCAAACAACTTTGCTTATCCATACTTCCTCAGCAGGTGCAAGTTCTGCTGGTCTCGTTTCAAAACAACGCCTTAGACGAGCTGGCTGCACCACCAAATCTTCCAACGTCAAGGTTTTTTCAGTCAAAGAAAAACCTCAAGAGACACAGAAGTACATTATGGAACTGTGTCATTCACTGAAACGTTACCTGCGATTTCGTAACGACCGTAAACGGTCATATACCACGCGAAGAAACACTTCATGTAGGAAATCTGTCTCTTAACCACGGTAGACGGATAACCCCGATTGGTGCTGGTATCATCACCAGTATAGGAAATCTTATAGAGATTGAAAAAAACTGCAATTTTCCAAATCGAAAACCAACCGACACGAAAAACAAATCGAGAAACTTCCAAGCCGTAGCCGGCGACACATAGCCGTCTGTTATATGTCACAGACGTGATAACGAAAGTTCGCTACCTCGTCGGTACTGGCGCAGAAGTTAGAGTTCTTCCTGAAAGTTCTAACGACCGGCTTCGCGAATCATTTTTAAACTTACAAGTGGCAAACGGAAATCCTATCGCCACATACGGTAAAAGGTACGTTTACCTTAGCATGCGTTTACGCAAACCCATTCACTGGATCTTTGTTGTTGCAGATGTTTCTATGCTAATCATTGCTATAGACCTCTTACAACATAATAATCTACTCATCGATACGCGCAAACGAAGGCTAGTACACAGATACACCAATTTATCTGTTTGCGTAACTTCTTCTTCTAGTTGCAGATTATCTCTCGTCACACTTAGGCACACGATGGACCCGTTCTGTCAACCACTACTCAATAAGTATTCTGGGATATACCAAACGCAACCAAAATTACCGTGTGTAACTAGCAATGTTACACATCACATCACAACTACAGGACCACATGTATTCTCCAAAACACGTCGACTAGCCCCCAAAAAGCCAAGGTTGTCCAAAAGCGAATTCGACCGCATGACAGAGTTGGGAATCATACGACCATCAAACACCCCATGGGCATTTTCGCTGCACATGGTACCTACAAAGGGCAGCAACGATTGCCATCCAACTCGTGGCTATCAGCGATTGAATGCAAAAACCATTTACGATCGTTACTCGTTGCCTCATATTCACGACTTAGAGCTACCTTGAAAGGTACAACTATCTTTTCGAAAATCGACTTGGTTAAATCTTATAACCAAACCCCTGTGGCTACTGACGACATTCCAAACACCTCTATCATAACTCCCTTCGGACTCCAGGAATTTTCGTGAATACCCTTTGGTCTAAAAAACACTGCACAAACATTCCAAAGGTTCATAGACGACGTTTTTCGAGGTCTCAACTTCTGACATGTGTATGTTGATGACATCCTAATGGCAAGTACGGACAGAGAATCCCATCTCAAGCATCTGGATCTTGTTTTCGACCGACTACAAAAACATGGCATTACTGTAAACATTATTATTATTCACAAACATCTTATGGGTACATAAGTGTTGGGAAGAAACCATTTCGGGTTTCTTCAGAAAATGCAATAATACACAATTTCCAATAATGTTAGCATTATACTTGCCATACTTAAAAAAAAAATAATAATAAAAATAAAAATAAAAAATTGAGAATAATAATAGTAGAATATTAATAATAATAAATGGGGTCTTTGTAATTGAGAAGAATATTGAATTGAGTTTGAAGAAGGAAATGGAGAAAATAAGGGAATAGGAATAAAGGAGACGTGAAATACGCAAACAGTCTAATAGGCGTGTTTATGAACACAGAACAAGAATAAACGACTATGTGTGTCGTTAAATTAGTAAGAAAAAATAATTTATCATTGTAGTAAGATATGACACTAAAATAAATGTTTGTGCAGTTATAATTTAGAGTGATGCTATGAAAGTCACAATTTCGTGAAAAGGATAATAAAATATCATATATGCATAGTGAAGATAAAACGAATCTGAGAAGTTAATTAAAGTGTAACACAAGTTATTGTTTTAATTACAAACTTCGTAATCTTAAGAATAATATTTATTTAGAGGGAAAGAAGAGAAAGAAAAGAAGTGAACACCTAGTGAAAAGATTCATCCATGATAAGAATAATAATTGTGTAATGAATATCAACCTCAGAAGGAAACCAGAAATTTTTTTAAAAAATCCTTTAAAGCACTCGGATGAATACATTTAGATTTATGTAATAGTATACAGAGTGAAACCGGATATTAGTATAAATATTTGTGCAAAAATAATTAAGATTGATGCTATGAAAGTCAAAATTGATTTCAAAGGACAATCTGGAGTTAAATATGTTTAGAAGGATAAGAAGATACAAAAAGAATATCTAATGTGTCGGAAAACTAATAATGATATTAATAACGGTAACACGAACATAATCAGACTTCATATATTAAGATAAAGAGAAATAAAACAAAATAGACGTGAAAAGATTTAAAGGTTTTATTTTGCTTTTCAAGCAATTAAATAAATGACGGACCTTGTTTGTATAAATCATTATTGAATACATTGATATTCAATAGGTGACACAATCCACTTTCGGAAAGAAAATCGTCAAGGAGACTTTTGAACCGGGTTGTAGTTTCACTGCAACGGAGGTTCACTGGCAGTCTGTTCCACATGGTTGAGTAGCGAATAAGGAAAAAATTCTGACGTAAGTTTGTGTGGGTTCTTGGAATCGCTAGAATGTTCTCCTTATTGCGTAGATTGTGGGATGATATTATAAGGTATGAAGGGGTAGATACCGATGAGTAGGAAATACCGTTAATGAGCCGGTAGATAAAGACAAGATTTAATTTGATACGTCTGATCCAAAGAGGTTCTAAGTTGAGTTGTTGACATCTTTGGTAATAGTCTTTGTTATCGGAATACCCCAGAACAGCTTTGGTGAACTTTCTTTGAACACCTTCAATTCTAATCAGATCATTATGTCTACAATTACTGTAAACTAAAATACCATATTCAAGAATGGGTAAGATACATTTTCTGTATAGTAACAATCTCGATTCGATATTATTGAAGTTTATCATTATCAATCCGATCAGCTTTCTAGCTTTGGATACTTGAGATATAATGTGTTCAGAAAAGTTCAGACTGTTGCTATATCTTAAACCCAGGTCACGAACAGTGTTGAGAGGTTTGAGTGTATGTGTCTGTACAGTCAGATTTAAGTTAAGACAGTGACCAATGTGAATAAATCCGCTCTTGTCAACATTAAGGGGCATATTCCACGAAATAGTCCATTCGTACAACTTGTTTATTTCCTCCTGGATTACCGCAGAAATATAGCTTTCTTTCGTGGGAGAAGAGAATGAATAAACTACTTTCAGGTCATCAGAAAAAAGGTAAGGCTTACCATATTGAAAGAGGGAACACACATCATTGATAAAAAGGAGAAAGAGCAATGGACCAACCACACTTCCTTGTATAACCCCACTGGTTACATTTACAGGTTTAGAGTAGCAAGATCCAAAGCGAACGATTTGGCTACGTTCTTCTAAAAAAGATTTGAGCCAAGATAAAAGGGGATTCTGTATGCCAAATGAAGAGAGTTTTAAAAGAAGAAGTTTGTGTGGGACACTGTCGAAAGCTTTACTAAAATCGAAGTAAAGAATTATCACTGACTGACCAACATCTCTTCTCTGGGTAATTTGATCAAAAAACTCCAGGTGCGATGTGAAACATGAGCGTTTAGTCATGAACCCGTGTTGGGATGGGCTGATCAGACTAGCTGAAAGTAAAAATGATAGTAGCTGTTTGTGGATGATTTTTTCCATGGTTCTTGAGAGCACGGATGTCAAATTAATTGGCCTATAGTTAATAATATCACTACGTGGTCCTGTTTTGAATCTAGGGGTGATAAGGGATGTTTTCCATACAGATGGATAGG